TCTAAATATTACGATCTATATGTGAGGCGTGACCTTTTCCCCGTTTATGAACTGAACACTTTATGAACATTTTAAGGTGCTAAAATACACGATTGATTTTCAACTTAACACCGACAGGATGACAGATAAACGCTTATAACCATGTGTTCAAAGTGCAGGCGAAACGTTTTCTCCACCTGGCAACAGATTCACTGCTGTGCAGTTTAATGGTGCCCTCTGCTGGGTGTTTATGGCATTGCACTCCACATGCTGCTGGAGGGAAATATAAGGTCAATAAATCTGATCAGTCACTAAAGTGTGAGATACTAGTTACCTAGTTTTTTCGGCACCCAATCAACTCCAAATGTGAATTTCTTAATCTGCACCACCAGATACTCTGGGAACGAGGAAAATCGGGAAGTTCTGCAAAGGAATGTGTTGAAAATTCAGTTTATGAATCCAGCTGGTTTTCGTTTAAATATACTGGTTAAAAAGGGGTGTACATTGGTCATTTCCGAGAACAAGTGGACGTTGCTTACTTGACTCCAGCTGACTTGGCCTGCAGTGCCGAGCTCCAGAAATCAGGAACATTTTCCGGCTCTGTGAAGGCCTGCAGACAAGCAGTGAAAGGGATCCGCGCCCTCACTGGCTCAGGAGGGGGACGCATGTTCTCTTCTGCTTCCTTACGCTTGACCTCATATGCAAGTAGCTCCTCTGGTAATGAAAAAAACAACAAAAATGTGTCACTTTCATTTGCAGCATTCGCAGAACTGAAGGTGCTGCAAGAGCCGATGTATTTGTTGTAAGTGTAGCATTTCAGATCAGTGCAGAGCTTTAACTAAAACGCCACTGTTTCACTCTCATCTTGGCAACATTTAAATAGTACATACAATTTGTCACATAATACTTTATATCAAGCTGTGAAGGTGTAACATTATTCCCAGAGCAGGTCCTGTTCATTCTCCCACTTGCTGCAGTGACCAGAGGCCATCGTGGCCTCCATTGTAAGCGTGTGGGGGCTCCGTTACCTCGATTGCTGGCGGCCTCAAATGGAGCGGGCAGCTGGATGCAGTAGTCTACCCGCTGAGTGTAACGGACACGACGAGTCTGGCAGCACTGAACTCGCTCCTCCACCAGGAAGCGAAACACATCACTTGGATTCTCTGAGCCTGCGTTGTTCCTCTGCAGAAACACCAAGATTCAGGATTCAGAGAAGCTGAATATGAGCATCGATAACAGAATCGGACCACATTTTGATTATGTGTCAGGCTGACTTTAGTTTATTATCCCCAAAGCAGGCTTGGCCGAGTCCAGGCCTCGAGGGCCGGTGTCCTGCAGGTTTTAGATCTCACCCTGGGTCAACACACCTGAATCAAGTGATTAGTTCATTACCAGGCATCTGGAGAACTTCAGGACATGTTGAGGAGGTCATTTAGCCGTTTAAATCAGCTGTGTTGGATCAAGGACGCATCTAAAACCTGCAGGACACCGGCCCTCGAGGCCTGGAGTTGGACACCCCTGTCATAAAGTATTAGTCCCAAATGGCATCCATCCATCAGTAATTTTGTTTCGGTTATCCGAGGCCGGGTCGCAGGGGCAGCAGCCTAAGCAGAGAAGCCCCGACCTGCCTCTCTCCGGCCACCTCCTCCAGCATGTGAATGCCTTATCCAAGTCCAAACACATTTGGACTGTTTGAGTAAACTCCTATGCCACCTCGAGCCAGTCCAGGGTTCCACGACCAGGACAAAAACCGCATTGTTCTTCCTTTATCCGAGGTTCGACTAACGGATGCATTTTCCTTTCCAGCACCCTGGCATAGACTTTCCCAGGGAGGCTGAGGACTGTGATCCCCTACAGTTGGAGCACACCCTTTCTTGAAGATGGGAACCACGACTCTGGTCTATCAATCCAGAGCTACCTGACCTCCACGCAGCACTGCAGAGGCATTTCAACCAAGCCCGCCCTACAACATCCAGAGCCTTCAGGAACTCAGGGCGAACCTCGTCCACACCAGGGGCTCTGGCACCAAGGAGCTGCTTCAGTGACCTCCCCCCCGAAAAGACGAGTTGTCCCCGTCATCTCCAGACTCTGCTTTCTCTGCGGAAGACTAAGGAGGTCCTCTGAGTTTCATCCACTGTGCAACAATGTCCTCGGTCGACGTCAGCAGCGCTCCACTATACACAGTGCAGGTAGAGCACTGCTTTACCCTCACGAGTCGCCTGACGGTTTTCCATGTTTCTTCAAGGCAGTCCGAAAGTCTTTTTCCTCCCTGAACTCCTCCCACACTCGAGTTTTTGCTTCACTGCCCAAACCGTGTTCCGCTTGGCCCATCGGTACCTATCAGCTGCCATCGAAGTCCTACAGGCTAACCAAACCTGACAGGACTTCGTCAGTCTGATGGTTCCCTTCACGTCTGGTTCGGGGGACACCACCACGACGGACACCAACCACCTTGCAGCCGCAGCTCAGTGCAACGGCTTCAGCAACGGAGGTGCTGCACATGGTCCATTCAGATGTCCAGAGTCTCCCTCGGATTGCTGTCGAGCTCTGCTGGAGGTGGGAGCGCTGGCACATTAAATACGGTTAAATGTAACGGCTCTATTTAACAATGACATAAACTGGGGAAGAGGAGGATAGAGACTGGATATATAAATCACAGAAATGACTGTCTTTGCTGTGGTCTATTAGACTCTCTTGGCAAGACTTAAGCGTGACTGCAGTTTGACCCACATTTCTTAATACAGCCATTCAAAACACTGATGTGACTCTTTAATTTACCAAATGCCTCAATGGAGAGAGCTGCATCTGTTTTAGAAAACGAGGAAGAATCATTATCACTGACAGGCTCCATATCGTCTATGAGCAGCAGGGCTGATTGAAGCAGTGTTTATTTGAAGACTGTGGTGAAGGATGGCACTGTGATTAAAGTTTGCATGGCCAAGCCCAGCCCTTCTATTCTAAGATGCTACAGCAATACACAAGTTATAATTTCACTTCAGCCATATTTGTAGGATGACACAGGCTGGGCAGGCTGCTGATGGTGATGTTATTCAGGTTATCCATGTATGGGTAACTAAACTGGCATGTAAACACTGGCTAGTAGGTCAAAGGAGGTGTGGAAACAAAAATGTTAATCACATTTAAAGTGTGAAATATATCTACAGATGATTTTTTTAATAACAGCCACAGAGGTTAGGAGAGATGGTTGGTATGTTTTGTTTATGTCCAGACTATCTCAGGGCGTCCTGGGTGAGGCAGAATAGGAGGCATTATCTGGCCACACTGTGTAAGTGATAGCAGAGGTCTATATATATCCTGCTTGAGACAGACATTTCAACACACCCCATGTTTACGTACCAACCAGGGAGACGGCATGCTGTGTTCAGTCGAAAACAAACGGCCCCTCCTCCAATAAACTGTCCCCGTGTGTCACACTCACCATATCCCACAACAGCTCCCACTCTGTGACATTGTCACAGAGTGGGACAACACTGGCTGCAACACTGGCTGCAGTTTACAGCCAGTGTTGGGAAGGTTACTTTTAAAATGTATTCCATTACAGATTACAGATTACATGCCCCAAAATGTATTCTGTAACGTATTCCGTTACGTTACTCA